GATCGGTGGTGCTAATGTGATGTCGCACATCATGTGGGTTGCATTCCTTTTGATAGTCTGCTTTAGTTATGCACCCGTATTTAATCAGGATGTCTTTCAAAATGTTTTTCACAGGTTTCATTATTCGTACACCATGAATTTCATGGTCAGTGGGTGTACCGTTCACCTGCAGACGTGTATTTTCGTCAATCAACTTCCTTTTGCTCATATCAACTAGTAAACTATAGGCGCTGAGAAAATCGACCCCGAGAATTAGTTGCTTGACTTGGGTGATCATAAAAACACGCGAAAATCTTCTACGGAGTCCGAGATCTAATATGAGAGATTGTTCACCGTGAGTTCTAATGACAGTGTCGTTAGCCGCGATAAGAGACAGTTTGGTGCTTGTCGTTTGTTGTCGTCGTGAGAGGTGAAAGGAGATGATGCTGATTTCTGCTCCTGTGTCGACTAAGAAGTCTGAGCCAGAAATACGACCCCTGATGTGAAAAAGGCAGCTGGCGTGTTGGACGGTAACAGACGCCACCATTACTGTCTGACCGGCCCGTTTCCCTGTTTTTCATGATTATTTGTTGTGAAGTTGCACGGTTGTGTGCAACGACGTGGTTTCTTACCATACTTCAGATGATACCAACATATTCCATCTGCGCCTTTAGGTGAACGAGGACGTTGTCTGGACACTGATCTTTTTCTTGAAATGGATTTATTCGGTCGTGAATGGATGCTTGCGATAGTAGCTTGTAATGATGCTAACTGAGTTGTTAACTGCGTTAATCGTTGCTGGATGTTGAGCGTAGTATTCGTATCGTCTTTACCGGAAGTTTGTATCGCATTTGGACAATGACTGTCAGGGTATATCTCCATCATCTTTCCACCATATGTGCTGAGTCTTCTGGATTGACAGAGCTTCCCGACACACTAAGAATCTGTCTGACGCTATGTGATATTCGCTGGAACCACGTTTGTTTAAGTAATACTTCTGTAGGGAGCAATTTCCTACAGGTTTAATTCTGAGCTATTCCCTAGACCGTTGAATACAGAGTCTTGGACTGGCCAAAGTCAGAACAAGCAAGCTATTTGGCTAGATAAACTTTATCTGTTTCTAAAACATAAATTAACATCGTTAGTGTACAAACAAACCGTACGGTCTATTAATACAGGGAAAAAACAGACAAATAACATACCGAGCAGTAGCCAGAGAATAGGAAAAATGAGTCAACAAGCAAATATTGTTTTACACTGAACATTAAACTGTGATTGGTTAATAAAGGGATACAGTCGTACAAAGTCAAAAGGAGTTAATGCGGTGGTGAGCGTTTCCCTTTATTATTGGTGGGTTCGTCTATCGATCACATTTTACAACTTCATCTAATTTATATGGACCCGCTAACTGTTTCCTATGTCGTAGCAACTGCGACGGTCTCTTGTCCCCAAGTTCCCATGGTGTGAACAGTTGTTGTAGTAGTTTTTCACCAGAAAGTGATGTACGTTGGAATACGGCAGCTTTAATTTTATCATAAGGATCAGTCTCTGGTACATGGTCGATCAAATCCCCAACTTCTGTAACGATTTCGATGGGAAGTGCGCCGACAACATAGACATATTTGGTCGCCTGGGAGCGTATGCCTTTCGCTAGGAATAAGGCTCTTACTTGCGCGAACCAGATCCTGGGGTTGTTGGCACCGTATGCCGTTAGTCTAAACTCGGAAAAGGCATTGACTGAGCTCAAAATAATATCATCTGAATGTGGTGAGTTGAGGAGGTACACTGTCAGCAGTTAACAGTGTGTCATGCTATGAAAGTAACACAACGGAAGGAAGTGTTCACGGTCATACACTTAACCAAGACGTACAATCATTTATTGATAAACGTACATGCAGTGAAAAAAATTGACAGAATAAATACAAACAACATCAAAAACTATTTAAAAAATTAGCTTGTTAAACATATCTCCACAAAGCTGTGGCAAATTCTGTCCAACTTACATAATATAAATAAGGATTTTCATAACTTTTATTCTGAGACTCGGAACTTACCGAAGAGTGGGAAACAACGGTAAGCTGTGATGTTGTATCTTTTCGCAATAGTATTTCAATCGAGGACGCCTAGAATTAATTAGCGGTTTGCAAGGTAATGAACATACTTTATTTGGTTGTTGTACATTGATTATTAGTTTAATCATGAAATCCCAAAATTTCTGCTAACTTCAATTGTACGAATAAAGCAACCGTGCGAAAATGGAATACACCACTTCCACGACTTAAGCTAGTCTATTTTTAGCAAATGTAGAATCAAGTATTCTTGTCAGTTACATCAGACGATTGAATCTGCCTAGGTATGTGGGTGATGCCTTCGCAATCGTGTAAATGTTGTTCCGCAGAGCATTAACCAAACTGATCAATGCAATTGTATCCAACATTAAATGAACGTACGAAAATAAAATGGAACATAGTCAGCTATCATTTTATGTTGGTTAGTTAAAAGGAGTCCTGGTAGAACTGTAATCTAACTACTTATCATAAACCAACGCACTCAATCGTTATATCGACTTCAATTCAGAGCACTCACTCGATGTAAAAATTCCCTCCAACTTTGTGTCTCTTTAGAAGAGCAAAAAAGATTATCGGATATGAAAAGAATAAGCGAAAGGCACGAAAGTATATAGACAAGATTTTGCAGTTCAATCGTCTTCCGACAGGTACAGTTAAAAATGAAGTGAAACGAAATGGTTTATTATTAAGTAGCAGTTTGTCAGAGATTCCATGTATTAGTACCGTAGTTCCACCATGACGTCATGGTACGACAGAACTTCGATGTATCTTAAAACACCACATAATGACATCATACTACAAAACAACAAACACAATTCAAAGCGTTAAAGTCAGTATAAAGGATAAGACGAGCTCTACCCCAACACAGAACTGTGTTCAAAGTTTAGTGTATGTCAGTTGTGATAATTTAGATATTGGATAATCACTTCGTGAACTGCTGGTTAGAGTCGAATACCACCCAACCAAATACTGAAAACCTAATAATCCTGCAGAACTTGTAGAATTCCAAATTAAATCAACAACAGTAGTAGATGCCATTTACATATTAAAATATCGAAATAGTGCAAACTGGTTCTTTTGATACCAATGATAGGGGATTTAGTGAAGTTCTCGAATATATGGCCAAATTCTACAACCCTCAGCAGAAAAAACTTTATCATCCATCCGACTTAGACTATCCATTCTTAACATCATTTCTCACTCTGTTTACATCTAACACAATTATAATACAAACGAATTTAGGTCTACCTTTTCATATTGCAAATGCAACACACATCATCAAAAAAGTACCTCATATACAAACCTCACTGACCGAAGTGGGATGACAGTGGATAAGTCAGACTGGTTTATAAATGACTACGCAAAAAAGACTTTGTTACTCTGTAATATTTAAGCTTGGGTTGATTCATTTTTATTTATTTATTCTTTAAGAAAGCGGCTTACACTGAATCACTATACTTCGTGAAACTTGATTTTTCTACTCATTCAGACAAAACGGATACATTAGGTTTATCATGAGGAATTTACATTATGTGCACCCTATTTGGATTTATATGGTAAAACTTTGAAAATAATTTGTTGTGAGGCAACAGCATGGTTTCAGGAAGGGTTACTCTTGTATAACCAACCTGCTGACTGCGGTGGACAGGTGGACAAGCATCCTCGATCGCAAGGGAAAGGTTGATATCATTTACCTTGATTTCTCAAAAGCTTTTGATAAGGTTAACCACTTGTGTCTTATCAATAAGCTCAAACGACTAGGTATCAAACCACCTTTAATCGATTGGCTTACTTCATACCTAAAAAATCGACACTTTAAGGTTAGGGTTAATTTCACTTTATCTCAGGCTATGGAATGTCCTAGTGGGGTCCCCCAGGGCTCAGTACTAGGGCCTCTTCTCTTCTTGATCTACATAAATGATCTTCCTCAACAGGTAACGTCAGACTTATTACTTTTTGCCGACGACGTGAAACTTTGGAGAGAGATACGCAACCAAGACGATATACAGGCACTTCAGGAGGATCTGACTCGACTTCAAAGTTGGGCAGACGATAACGGACTTACCTTTAACACTTCGAAGTGTAAAGTAGTCCATCTGCGACATGTTGCAAACTACAGTTACAACTTAGGAAACTCCTCTCTAGTAGTATCCCAAGTCGAAAAAGATTTAGGAGTCCTGGTGCCCCATGATTTAAAGTCTTACGCTAACTGTGACAAAAATGCCTTCCGAGCAAACCTTGCACTGGTAACGTTGAAGCGCATTTTTGGACAGTTTGACGGACGAACTTTCCATACAATCTTCAATAGTTTCATCCGTCCCCATTTAGAGTACGGAAACATAGTACTCCCTCCCTCACTCCAAAAGGACAAGGTCACTTTGGAGCGTATCCAACGGCGAGCCACGAAATCAGTTCGAGGACTCAAATCTAAACCTTACGAAGAACGCCTCCATTCACTAGACCTTTACCCATTAGAATATAGGCGTCTTAGAGGTGATTTATTAATGGCTTATAGTATTCTTAACACTTCTGGACATCCTCTTAAACACCTACTTAAGCTTAGTTCGAATAATAACCTAAGGGGTAACACCCAGAAACTGGAAACACAACATAGCAAGACGGAATGTAGACACAACTTCTACTCCTTAAGAGTTGTCAAAAGCTGGAATTCGCTGCCGGCCGAGCTAGTCCAAGCGACTTCTCAGGAGTCCTTCAAGAGGCAACTTGACCTATTCTTAAGGACCAAGGACAGCATCATACTATGATTTACCAATTTCTTTTCCTCTTTTATTGTTAACATACCTAGGTTCCTGCCTGGAGGATTTGGTGATCCCCTGCTACTAGACACGGAAGCCTGTTAAGCGAAAGCTTCTTCTATTCCGTCCACAACCATTTGAACCATTTGAACTTGTTTGTATAATCTTGCTTCGGTGGCGGATTTTCAAACTCAGCATGGTAGGTTGTGTGTTGTTGATAGGTATCTTGTAGACCAAAATACGGGCGTCAAAGCTACGTAGTAAACCAGAGCCTGAACTACAAAAGCAACTTGGAGAGCTTAAGACGGAACTTGGCAATCTTCGTTTGTATCGGGTAACGAGAGGCGCATCCTATCATGGAAAATTGAAGAAAATGTAAGTCTTATTGCTACCAAGTTTTATAAAAATCTCACTTTTAGCCGGACACTAAGAAAGTCCATTGCCCGTGTATATACAGTTATTCATCAGGCGCAAAAACTTCGCCAACGTGAAGCTTATCGTTCCAAGAAATACGTTCCCAAAGATTTGAGACCAAAGAAGACCAGAGCAATACGCAGAAGACTTACTAAGAAAGAGCAGTCAATTCATTCTGCGCGTTCAATGCGCAAGGCACGTGCCTTCCCTCCACGTGTATTTGCTGTTAAGTGCTAAGTAATAAAAGTTTTGGTCAAAATCGGATCATGAAAGTGCTGTTTGATTTTACCTAAGTTCCTTATCCCCTAGACTCTAGATTCGTTAACATAAACGCTATTGTAGTTTGCTATGTGTCGGCTGCATATAAACTTGTACTGACTTGTTATATCTATGCTCATAAGTACCATCCCTTATATATATATATATATATATATATATATATATACGCATACTGTGTGTCTACTTTAAAGTCTAGTTGAATACGATCCCCGAACTGCTACTTATTAAATATACCAGCGTAATCTGACCAATCATCAGTGATGTGATTTGCGTCGACTGTTGCACGTAGGGAAGTGTTTGTAGTGTCAGTATTATTATATAATTGCTGGTGATTGTTCCCAATAATTTCAAAGATAACGATTCTAATTTATATTATACCTTGATTGATAACTTATAGTCACTGAACACGTGGTCTGTATTGCTTGTTTTCATTTTGGATATCTGGTCACAACTATTGGGGTCTCATTGTGTTCATATTCGTCTGGCTTATTCAGCAGCTCAACTATCCATTCACGACTGGAACGAACGTAAAAGCTTTTGGTTATAACAACTTTAAGATGTAAGTGGTCAAATTAGGCTGATTTGACAGTTTTTTGCCACTATGCATCTTGTTCTAGCAACTAGACAACGAAACGTTTACGCCTAGTAATTCGAAGTGTCTGAGGCTCACTACTTTTCATCATATAAAGCATCTGAGCTGTTTGTTCCTGCCCTTAGACTTCTGGCTGATGTAGGACAGCAGATTAAACTTGTTCGGAATAATAACGATTAACATCCCTTATTATTCTACTAGGATCTCAACGTTTTTTACTGACCTAGAGATATTTTCCATACGGAGAAAATGGCTATCCATCTGTCATTAATCGTACTTTACAAACACGAATTCTCTCTATTTATCAACTTGAGATCGGGGGTTATCATTCGCCTGACCACACTAAAACTCAGTAAACATGTTGCACGTAACTTTAATCTTGTTTTTGTTCAGTTTGCGTATTAAATACTATGTACATATATCTATTACTAGTTTAACATTGCTTGTGCTTTGATGATATGTGCTAAGACCGCAGTTTGTTGTCAGTTGTAACAGGTTTCATTTCAGACTAGCTATAGTAGTAGTAGTGTTTTTGGTGTGAGATGTACTGATAAGATTTTTTCTGGTCGTTGGGTAGGCGAATGAATGTATTCGAACAGTTCTGGTACTGCATCTTACGTCCCCTCACTGCCTTATGAAGTGGATCTCAAAACATTGTTTACATTCTCTATTGCAATGCATGTCTGTGAACAGCTTGTTTTCATGTGACATGCACATTTTCGATTGCTATCAACGCACACTTAATTGTTAAAATTGGTTTCGTTCGGAAGATCCTATATCTCTTAGAGGTTGGTTTATGTTAGCTATCAATAGCCTATCCTTGTACCAGATGTGTCATCTAGATATGCTTTATATTGAGGAGCATCATACAACTATACTGCGTGTGGTGTAGGTTACTTGAAGTTTTTAAGACGTAAATTTGTGTTAGCTATAAACCGTACTTCTGTGTGAGGTAGTAATAATATTCAGTTGACTAAACTGAAGTTCGCGCATTGGGGAATGTTCATGAAGCCTACTAAATGACTGAACTAAAGTGGTCGGTGTGTTTCGGACTTGGAAGCAGTCTTTGGATCTGGTAACCCTTGAAACTATACCAATTTACTCACACTACTAGCTGCGGGCTTGGCAGTTGTTAAACAATCTGCAGGACGCTGGTCGGCGTTTCCAAAGAAAACCCCGAACTCCAGACCGCACCTTGGTTTTCAGAGTTGTAAGAAAATTAAAATACTGAGAAATCAAAGGTCACTCGGTGTAAACGACATGTACTAAACCTTTTCCAACGATCGATGCAAATTTCCTTACAGGTTTATAACAGACATTCGTAGATAATTGGTGACCGCCAATGCAGAAGACATGATCTTTTCATCGTTTATTATTCACATGAACGGTTCGGATAGTAAATGTTTGAACGTGCTCTTATGAGATGTCCCATCTATTATTAGAGTTTGCAGGTGAGATCATTCTATTCGACGAAGAAGCTGACAAAATACTGGGTCATTTGGACCCTTAGAATCAGTCAGTCAGTCAGCTACAACGTAGGACCAGGCACATATGTGCATCGGTCCAGGTTGCCATACCGCATCAGCACAACAAGATGAACACCGGATTCATAGCAGTGGTTATGTCAAAGGTGGTAATATATAAGAGAAAGATTGCATATAGAGATATAATACAAGAAGAAAGAATTGGTTCGTAGAAAGAAAGATATGAAGTGATTTTAATCTCTTAGTTTAAGGGAAGACAGGGAGTGTATACACCGACGCCATTGTGATCGATTCTGAGCCATGTCACCAAGAGTCTCCAACCATTGGTTACGATAGTCACGCGGACCCCAACCAAGTAGTCTGCATCTACCAACATGTTGCAGCTTAGACTTTAGTGACTTCAAGCACTGATGCCACGTTTTGGTTTGGCCGCCCCTAACTTTCTTCCAACCATCTCCAATACCGGATAGCATTGCACGTCGTGGTAATCGGTGTTCAGGCATACGTAATACGTGGCCCAACCATCTCAGTCGATGAAGATTCATAACCTCATCAACTGATTTACCATCATTCCCTAATACCCTGCGTCTAACCTCACTATTACTTACCCGGTGATCCCAGCAGACGCCAGCAATATTTCTAAGGCATCTGTGGTCAAATACTAGTAGCTTACGAGTGTCTTCTACTCTTAAAGGCCATGTTTCGCTGCCGTAAATTAAAACAGAACGGACTGCCGCGCAGTATACTCGTCCTTTTATTGATAGACGGATATCTCGCCTTCGCCACAGGTGACGTAAGTTGGCAAAAGCCAAACGAGCTTTTCGAATCCGTGCTGAGATTTCGTCAGACACCAACCCATTAGGGCTGATCAGACTTCCAAGATAAGTGAAGTTGTCAACGCGTTCGACTACTTCACTCCCTATCCTTAGTTCAGGTGTTGACGCAGACCAGTCCTGAAGCAACAACTTGCATTTAGAGGGAGAGAAGCGCATTCCAAACATTCTGGCATTGTTGCTTAGTGCTACCAGAAGACTCTGCATTTTGTCAGCGTCTTCACCAAACAGGACTATGTCATCTGCGTATTCTAAGTCGATAAGTGGACCTCCTGGATGGAGATCAATACCCGAGAATTCAGTCGACGAGAAAGTTATTTCCATCAGTAGATCTATGATGAAGTTAAACAAAAATGGAGAAAGTGGACAGCCTTGACGGACACCACTTGAGGTTGCAAAAGTAGATGACAGTTCGCCATAAGCTCTGACTCGACTAGTAGTGTTCGAGTAAAGAGCCTTCACAAGGTTTATGTACTTCTGGGTACGCCTTTCAATGACAGACACTGCCACAGAATCTCGCGGTCTACAGAGTCAAATGCTGCTTTTAAGTCGAGAAAGACCACCATTGTCGGACGCCGATAAGTATGCCTGTGTTCTAGAATCTGACGAATGGTGAATATGTGGTCGATGCAGCCACGACCAGGTCTGAAGCCAGCTTGGTTCTCTCGTGTTTGCAGTTCACGAGTCTTAGTTAGGCGTCTGATAATTATCGAGGCTAGTATTTTAGATATTATATTAGTTAAACTAATCCCTCTGTGGTTGTCACAGGATGATTTTGACCCTTTCTTATATATTGGGACGATAAGTGATTGTGACCAGTCAGATGGGATAACGTCTAACTCCCAGATCTTAGCTAAAATATTAGTCAACCTAATCGCTAAAATTGGACCACCATCCTTAAAGACCTCTGGAGCCAGTCCATCTGGACCAGCTGCCCTTCCTCGTTTCAGATTAACTATAGCCTTTTGAACTTCAGCAAGAGTTGGGGGACCTACTTCAATGTTCCATTCACACTGTCTGGGAATGGAGGGTAGTTGTAGAGTAGCTGAAGGCCAGCTGAACTGTTCTCTGAAATGTTCCGCCCATCGTTCTAAACGTCTGGACTGGGAGCAGATGAGAGTATCGCCTTTTTCCGAAATAATCTCACTTACACTTGACTTATTAATTCCAGTTTCTTTTATTAGTCTGTAAAGCTGTCTTGTGTTCCCTATAGTCGCCGCCTTTTCCATCTCTTTTGCTTTCGTTGCCCACCACTGCTCACGGTCGTTTCTTAGACTTTTTCTTAACCTAGATCTGATTTGTTGTCGCTCTTCATCATGTTCGGAACCTGATGGGACGAGTTTGCGAGAATCCATCAGTGTGATAGACTTTGAAGAAATCCACTGGTTCTTTGTAACTCTGTGGTTTAAGTCGCTAATAGATGTCACTGCTGTTTCCACAGCTGCTTGTATCTTTCCAAGCAACATCTGGGTCAGCCTCGTCTTCGAACTACCTAAGTGTGACCTCAGTTGTTCCTGGAACCTACTTTTGGTTTTCTCACTACTCAACTCAGTTCTAATGGGTCTTTTTAATGTGGCTTTTTTGCGTCCAGTGAGGCGCAAGCAGATGCGTGCCCGTATTAGGGCATGGTCGGAGTCCAAGCAGGTACTCCAGAATGAGCGACAATCTTCTACCGACCCTCTCCAACGATGACTGATGGCAATATGGTCTATTTGAGTCCATCGTTGGTTTGGTGTAGGGGGTCGCCATGTTAGACGATGTCTCTCCTTATGCTTAAAATTTGTGTTTGCTAAAAATAAACGATTGTCTGAGCACAGTTGCAGCAGACGATCACCATTATCTGTTCGCTGTGCCGGAATGCTAAAATATCCACCTAAATGCCTTTCTGTTTGGTTTAAGCTACCTATCTGAGCATTAAAGTCACCTGCTACGAGTACTATGTCTGAGCGTTTAGCTTTCTGAAGAAGTTCGGAAGCTTTCTGTAAAATTCATCTTTCACTTCATCTGAGCTGCAGTCAGTGGGAGCGTAGGCAGAAACGACAAAAAGGC